CCCAGAATTCCCCAGCCAGCATTCGCTGGCTGGGGAATTCTGGGAGTTGAAGTCCAGACATCTTCAAGTTGACAAGATTGAGAAACACTGCAGTAGGGTTTTGTTTTCCATGTTTACTTCAAAAGGTCAGCTAACTTTGAATGCATTGTGCAACATGAAACGAAGATGCAAAACTCACAATATAGTTTCACCAACCTTTCCCTAAAGGGGTTCACAAGATTATGGTCTTTTTATCGGCACGTTAAATGAGAATACCCGGAAACGTAGGGAAATTGCTACATTTAGGTTTGCAAGCAATACAAAATTGCAAGTTTTGGAAAATCATGAATGGGAAGTTTAGAAATTCATAAACAAACCACAATTCCTGGCCCCCCAGAGCATCGCTCATTACAAAGAAAGCATAATCCAGTGTTTCTCAAAACCTTACATCCAAAATAATATATTGAATAGAAATATCTGAGCATGTTCGTGATTGTTGCATTAATACTTTCAGTAATTTGTTTTAAGAAGGAAAATATGCATATACCGTACTTCTTTTAAAAAAATTAGTAATAAAAGCAGGATTTAAAAAGGGGGGAAACTGATTAGAACTACAGTCTCTGATTGGCATGCTATGCGCTGCATTTTCAAAAATTTGTGCCTATTTCAGCAAATGCAGCAATAAACTTGAAGTTACTTTTAAACCAGAGAGTAATGACTAGCATCCTAAAAGTAGCAAACTAGTCACTACAAATCTATATCATTGACTAATTTAAATAAATACATGGATCTACAAACCGTTTCTAGATTGGCAGCCAAATATCCAGAGTTAGATAGGAAAAGAACAGAATCCTGGATATTTTTGTTTACATATCTATGTACTGAAGAAAATTCCAATTAAAAAAAAATTTAGACTCTCTATACCTATCTAGCTATAAATACGTATTTTTGCATATGAATCAAGTAACTGCACAGGTTTTGAGTTTGATCCATTGCTCAATAATGGCATAATACACAGATTTAAGGAAATTTAGCCTCACTGACAGTTGAAATGATTTTAGTAGAACTTGGAAGATTTGTAGAAAGCTGTTGAAAATATCTAGGTTGCTCTTTAGTATTTGCACAATTTAAATGCTTTTCAGATGAACATGGCCACCTAAGAAACAGATATCCAATCACTTGGCCAATTATTTTGACAGAAGGTAACTGGGGGGGGGGGGGGAAAGCCAAGTCATCTATGATTTGGATTATGAATTTTCTAATTACACCGTATCCATTTGTTTCCCTGCATTCAAAGTTAGTCTGATCCTTTGCACAGCTGCTTGCTTTATTATCGACCCATTCGACAGCAGTACCAATTTATGCTACATATTTCAGAGTACTTCACTTCAAAATAACAGATTACATATCTACATTTATAAAATAGCATTCACAGTTTACTACTGTGGGTATCCCCCCCAAAAAATACTTTAGGCTCTGGAGTGCTTATAGGTCATTACCCAAGCTGACCTTCGTGTCAGTGGAGTGCAATTGCTTTTCAATGAAGTTTATTAAATTCATCCCAATGAAAGTGCTTTTCCTTGCAAATATGCCAAAGGTGCATTTCAACCGGTTTATCTTGCGGTGTGTTCAGTTATCCTGAAAAGTGCCTATTTCATCTTCTTCTACAATTAGCCTCTTCGTCAACTAAACCCCACATTTGATCTGTTGCCCATTTTTCTTTCTTTCTGTTTTCTTTATGATCTGCTAGGGTGTTTTCTGTTTGTGCATCCAGCGCCATGGGATCCTATCTTGTGCAGGGAGTTTTAGGGAGTTTTAAGAATCTGACTGGGGAATTACCAGCCTATTTTAGGACACTTTAATATCAGTGCTTTGGACCTGCCTATAGCTTTCTAGGCTGAGATAATGGGGAAGGGAACTGATTCTCTTCCCCTCCCCCCATTTTCAGAGATCTACAATCAGGGAGGATATTTAGAAGAGGGTGGAATTAGAGAACCCATTTCTATCTCCAGAGTTGGAGATCCCTGGGGGGAGAAAAAGCCTTTGGCCACTGGCATACCTCACAGGGAGTCTAGGAATACATCCTAGGCCTAGGATGATAAAGTTTTGACTTTTATGTCCCAAATTAATTTGAAAACAGTCCATAAGTGTCTGCAAATAGATGGTTGTGAGCAGTAAGCATGGCCTCTGAGTGCTGTATGACCACTTATCCCTATCTTACGCTGTTCCAATCTAATTATTCTGATCATATTTGCTAAAAATCTTTTTACTAGCTGAAAACAAAACTTTTCATAGCTGTTTTAGTCTGATTCAAACTGACCCCCTCATCAAGCATTATCAATCAGTTTTCTTGACTTTGGATGAGAATGTAAACAGTCTTTGCCTTCTGAAACTAAAGAAAGTAATCCTTTTATGAATATATTTTTGGAAAAAAATATCTCACCCCCTTTTTAACATAAAGCCAATAGTTTCAAAGCACTTTGCATACTGAGGCCCCAGGTAATTTGGGTTCATTGCTTATATAAGTGCATTTTTTCCAGAGATTGGCTGTGATTGTGCCACAGTGATGTTAATAATCTTACTCAGCTGCTCCCTATTGTTTCCACTATGATCAGGAATAATTAACACTAAATACATACTTTTTCTGTGCAGTATTATTTCACAAGTAAATAGGTGCATGGAAATCTACCATTTCCTTTTAAGTTGAATAGAGATTATTTGCAGCAGATTGAAAGAAATAAAAGACACAGTTTTACAGAGGTGTCTGTGGGGTGCGTGTTGTGTCGCCAAAGAGCAAAGGGCAGCTGTGACTGTGTGCCAAAAGTGCACTTCTTTTTATGTACACCACTTCTGACAGTTTGTAGTTGGCATATGTGGATATGTCCCAGCTTTGCTTATAGCACCTCTATAAAAGTTTTAGCAAAGCAATTGAGAAAAACAGCCTTCAAATTCTAAATGCTTTCATCAGAGCAATGATACTCTCAATTAACTAAAGGACCTGATTCAGCTAAGCAACACTGTTTGGTTGAAAGGTTTAGAATAGGAACAAGATTTACATTATGTTTATTCACCCTGTGGCACCTTTATTTGCTCTCAAGTGCAGCAAGCCCAAATGCAGGTGCAACATACCAATTGCCTAGGCTTTCGACAATATCTGCACCTTATTAAATTAATGCCTATGGTAGGAACATGGCATGCATGCATATTTATTTACGCTTGATACCAATAATATTAAGTACTAAGATTTTAACTGAAAAGGTTGAATTAAAGAAAACTGATTTTGAAATTTAAAAAACTGAGTATAAAATTATTACCTTCATTTATTGAAAAGAATCCAGAAAATTAAAATATTACAAAGACTACAAAATTAATTAAAATATTTAAAAAATAAAAAGTGTGGCAGAAAAAGAAGACCCCTGATACGTCAAGGAAATCTTTTCAATTCAATATTTCCTTGGAAGATGTCTTCATTTGAAGGGCACTGTCACCCATTCTAAGCCTATCTATTTTTCTGCTTACATAACAGATTTACTGCTCATGTGGAAAGAGCAGGGTATCATATGAAAACAGGTATAATGGAATAGTGTAGAATAAACAAATATGAATATAATAGAGGCATAAAGAAAATTACATCTAAATGAAAACTTAAGCCAGGGTGACAATATCTTCAATCCCAAATTATTCTGTTTTGCCAGAATCTCTCAATCTCTGCAATGTGAGAACTTTTCAAATGAAAAAAGTATGTTGTTTAAATAAGTCAGCTGCTGCTGTCATGTGGGGTACTTCAATTTAAATTCAGGGCATTTGTACAATGTAAGGCAGTGGTTCCCAAACTTGGCAACTTTCAGACTTGCGTGGCCTGACAAAACCGCGCTCGTCAAAATAGTGGCGACAAAACCGCGTTGCTAAAACCGCAACGTCATCACCGCGACGTCAACAGCGCGGCGACAGAAGGGCGCTTTAAAACAGCGCAACGACAGAAAGCCGATTTAAATTAAGGTAAGGGTTAGGATTAGGTTTAGGGGTTAGGTTTAGGGTTAGGTTTAGGGTTAGGGTGCTGAGTGCTTCGGAAGGCGCGGATTTGCTCTCCGCGCTTATGTCGTCACGCTAGGGTCGCCTTTTTCCTTAGCGCTTCGTACGGCGCGGATTTGCCCTCCGCGCTTATGTCAGCGCGGATAAGGGCTTTGCGGTTTTGTCGGTGAACCTAAGACTTGTGGACTTCAACTCCCAGAATTCTCCAGCCAGCAGAGCTGGCTGGAGAATTCTGAGAGTTGAAGTCCACAAGTCTTAAAGTTGCCAAGTTTGGGAACCACTGATGTAAGGAATGTTGTAATTATAGTCACATGCTACATTCAGTCAGTTTCCAATGGCTGCTGCAAAGCAGACTTAGCATTATAGCAGAGTGCTGGGACTTTCCTTCACAGAGGCCCAGGATTTAATCCCTGGAGCTGAAGGATGCATTAGGATTGCTGTTGCAAAAGCAAAGGGAGATTGCTCAGAATGGTTGACTTTTATACCATTCCTTCTTCCTTCCAGGGGAAATATTTATTGCCAATGCAATAGAAGGTGAGATATGGCTACTGTTGCTAGGAGGAAGTGGGATGAAACAAGGGTCCCTTCCATTGGGAAAACAGGATTCTCAAACAGCAATTAAAAGTAGCTTCAACTAAATTCCAGGTGCCTCGGCCATGACAATACCGTCTCAAACCTCTAACAATCTGACAGTATGAAATCGAACAAGTTGTACATCAATCTTGAACCAGCAGGAAGTTGTGGTATGGTGGCCTTCCTTATTACCAATGTGTACTAATTACATGCCTCATATGACAAAAGAGAATTATGTAAATTACACAAATAGATTTCACCGAGATATTTGCCGATATTAACCCTGGCCAGTAGTACATTTAGTTCATTTTTCAACTGATTTTTTTTGTACTGTCATTTAGGATATTATTTTTTATAGTTTAGACAATACTTTAAAGATCAATGATAACCACAGTTTCACAGCTACGGCTACTGTGAGATTTTGAATTAACTATTGGTTGGAAAAACTAAAATTTTATGCTATCCATCTGATTCAAACACTTTCATTCTAAAATTCTAAAGAAGAAAAACAGTAATCCTGAATTTTAACATCTATTACTATACAGTCCAATATTTGACATGAGAAAATAAAGCTAGTATTATGAAGTTGGGATCCACTGCCTAGTCTTTATGATGAAGGACAGAGAGAAACATGCCTTAACATTGGCCCAATGATGTCCTAATTACTGCATGGAGAAATTTGCAATATAATTAGTTTGATTTATTTACTTAATTACTGAGTTTTTAAAATACCACCCCATAACTATTAAATGTGGGGTTGTTGAAAAGAAACTGTGTATATAATGAGCTGCATTTGCATGAAATGTAGCAGGAAAAGATTACCTTCCTTTCAAATTCATTCATAAAAAAAAAGCTATCCATTCATAAAAAACATGTTGAAATAAGTGGTCCTGTATTGTAATGGAAGACAAGTTTGTTCTAAGGTTTGGCTCTGTGGAATAAGAAGGAGTCTGACACGCCAGTCTCTCTTCTAGAATCAAGGGAGCTGCAATTTACACAGGAAACTCTTAAGGGCTTATATGCAGGACACAGAAATGTGCCAGTTAATGGCTATTTTTTTGGAAAATTAGAAGTGTTGAAGTTTCATGGCTCCTTCTGGCAAGTTCTGTACATAGGTAGGGAGCAATAACTTTTGAGAAGAATGGAAGCTACTGCTAATTGTAACGTTTAGCAAGCTATCAACATGGAAGAATCAATAATTTAGGCATCTGGACTACAACATCCAAAGCTCACACACTAGGTCCCATACTGTGCCCTTAATAAATATTGGTTACAAAGCTATGGCTGATTATAAATGTAAGTCAGGCAACTAGAAGACACAAGCTCTTCGAATGAAGATAGCTACAGAAGATAAAGCAATGATTTTCAAATATTCCTGATTTTTAAGACCACTCTTTTCTCTTTTAAAATAAAAGCATATCTATGACTTACATTTTAACTGCTTTCCCTTTTTGCAACAAAAGCAAATTCACTGAGCCGGAAAGATCATATTAACTATTAAACTTTTAAGGAAGAATTAGAAGGCCGCAGTGTTAATTTAATTTTAAAATCAAGGTTTGAAGCAGGGGCGTGAATGTCTGCAAGAAGTGGGACACTTGGAAGAATATATGTTGCAATATTCTGATGCGAACCACCCCAGTGTTGTGTACAACACTGCAATAAATGTGTAGGAAAAAAAATAAAATTTACGTCATGTTATCATAATTCTTGTTTTTACCATTTTGGCATCCTCATAGTTAACAGTGGAGACTTATAATCTGGCCCTCATCAACATTTCATTTCATATTAAATAGGAAGAAGGAAAAAAAGGAAACTGTTGTGCATATTTCAGCAGAGAAATTATTTGCTGTTTTATACTTTTTCTGTGGATGCCTGCAGAATATGTGCAGTTTAGTTTGAGAATTTTGGGGCTATCCAACAAGCTGCAGGTTGAAGAAAAATAAACTGCTTATCTGAAGAAAAATATCCATATAAAATCAGAAAGCTCGTTTTAGGACGCTAAGTTCAAATACTTTTCTAAATGTCATTAACATCTGTCATTAACATCAGCTGTGCTGGCTGGGGGATTCTGGGAGTTGAAGTCCACAGGACTTAAAGTCGCCAAGGTTGAGAAACACTGGTCTAGACTGATCATGGACAGAGTAATTAATTATCTGCTTTCTAAATTACATTGGAAAATGGATTTGGGGGTTGCACGATTTGATGGTTTGGTTCTTTTTTATCTAAATTTCCTGTTTGGGTCCTTTCTGGTCACAGCTGTGGGCATCCTAACCATTGGCTCTGTAAGATCTGTCCACGCCATGCTTTGGTTCCTGCCTTAATCTCCAGTAAAACCATTCTGTCGCTGATAACCTCATGGGATGTGTTTTTTCTTTGCTGAATCCCAAAATAACATTCCTTTTATACAGCATACCGAATGAATGAGTAATGACCTGCTATTTAAGCGTATCAGCTTTTATATCCATCAGCTATTAAATAAGTAAGTTTAAACTCTACCTCTTGCAAGGGTTTCTTAATATGCTTCTTTGTATTTCTGAAGACAGACCCTTATCTTGTTGCACTCCTTAAATTTTGTCCATCAGAGTTAAGTACAAATCTTATTTCTACACTGATTCTCTGTTGTTCTACCTTTTATTTTCTGCTTTGAAATGAATAAATAGCAGATTGTACACACTAAAGTAACGGATTCCTCCTAAAAGTGCATTCCAAATATATTAAGATAGGAGAATGGAGGTGATTCTTTTTCTATTCTTGTGCCTTTCAATGCTACAATTTCAAGGAACCAACTCTATTTCTTTAAATCAACATGTAAAAGCTAAAAGTAAAAAATAAATGAGCAAATGCTGGGAGATTACTTACGGATTTCATTTGAGAATATAACAGCCACAAACACCCTTCATTTGTTTAAGTTCTTGTTTAGTGTTTCTTCTTTGTGCTAGAACAAAAGCTCTCAATAACAGTCTCATAATAGTCTTCACTGGGGAGCTCAAATCAGTCCTTTTCCCCCCTTTTACCTTCAGAGTTCCCTTCAAATGTGCTCCTTTTCTTGTAAGAGCCAAAGTTGGTACTTCAATATTATTCCCGTGAGTAGTAGTTGCACCGATGAATGAAGTTCCAAAAGCTTGACTTTCACTTTGTTTTGGCAATTCCAGAGTCACCTTTCATGTATAGATATAATATATATATTTATATTACTATTCATTTTACATTTTAAATTATTTTATTTTGCTGGTCACTTCCATATTGCTTTATTCAGATTCCAGAATAAAGTTCAGAGTAAGGAGAAAATATAAAGAGAATGAAAAAGAAAAGTTTAAGTGCAAATTAATTTTCCAGTGATTTCCCGAGTGTGTTTTACCTGTCCTTGTTTTTTTTTTCTTTTTCCATCTTCCCTCCTAACCCTGCCTTAAAAATGTTAAAAGTGTTTAAAAATCCAGTGTTATTCTTCCTTCTAGTGCTATATAATGATCAATAAAGAAATGGAGGGGAGAATTATTACACGTTGCATTCAATGTGTATAAAACATGAACAGGAGACTCTCTTTATATAAATATTCAGTATTCATTGGCACTGTGCCCTCAAAAAGCCCACACTAGTTTGTGTGTGTGTGTGTGTGTGTCCTGATACAATTTTTGTCTTGTAGCCACCTGTAATTTCATGCACCAGAACAAGAATGAATGAGGTCTCTGCTTTGGAAAAGTAGAGAGAGCAACTGGCCACAAGCAAGCTGGATTAGACATTTTGATTAGGGGGCAGAATTAAAAAAAGGTTAAAGAAATTGGCCTTTCAATCTCAGTCAATAGGTCATTACCTGTGGTATAAAAATTGTCTTTTTCTACCCCTTTCCACCTTTTGAAACTGCCTTGCTTTCTGTGGGAATGCTTCAGGGGCTCTGGCACTTCCTGCTGATAGAAACTGACCTGGGTGACTTTCTTGGCAGCCCCCCAGCTGGATCCCTACGAGAAGACCAGCCCGACAGCAGGCAACCACTTCAGGGGCTGTTCCTAGCGTGCGTGGCTGTTCTGATCTTTTCTTCCTCCAAAAGAAGGGCTTGGAAAGGAAGAAAATCCAGACTTTCCCCCCCCTTTTTGTTTCTTCCTAAATTCCTGGAATCATTGACTGAAATGAGTCCCTTCTCTTTGCGGACATCAAATGGAGGGAAGATTTGAGAAAGAGAAAGTAAGAAAAGGGGGGGTAGGAGGAGAAAAGGGGCAGGGGGAAGAAGGAGAGAGAAGGAGAGTGCTGGTATGGTTTCCCCATTTCTCCCTGGGATTACACTACGGTGTTTCGGTGTCTGTAGGGTGGCGGGGGCAGCATCATGCCAGGCTTCAGAGAGAACTCTGAGAGGTATTCGGGGTTCTCGGCCACAGTGGGCCGGATCCTTCCGTTTTGTTTGTAAAAATATTTTGTGCTGTATTCCTGAAGGTAGTCCGGATGCTGGAGGGTACTTCGCGGAGGCAGGCTGTGATTCCAATAACCTGGGTTATCAAATGCCCTTTTGGGCTTTTCTGGCAACGGAAGCCCATTTTTCTTCAGGTACTCTGCGTTTTCAAAGGTGCTTGCGAAGGTGTTGAGGTACAGGGGCTCACTCACATATTCATCCTCGGCTTTGGGCTGCCCAGTTTGGCTGTTGTGATAATCTGGGTTGTCCAGAGCTTGAAGATCACCATTCTTCCACCGAGAAACAAATGGATTCTCCTCTACTGGATTCAGGTGATCTTGGAAAAAGGAAAGATACGTTAACTGAAATGAAAATAATTTCCACTGCAATGTGTACATTCAGGAAACATAACATTATACATTTGTGGAAATAGTTTGTAAAAAATGTATACATATAAACTATTTATTTATTTATTTATTATTAAAATTTATATACCGCCCAATCCCGAAGGACTCTGAGCGGCTTACAAAAGAAAAAGAAAAAGAAAGAGAGAAAGAAAAATTAAGAAAAAAAAGACAGTTTAAAATCATAAATCCACATGCATTCATTCTAATCGGGGCTGGACCTCAACAGTGCCGGAACACCCAAGTTTTTACAGCTTTCCTGAAGGCCATGAGAGTGGGTATGGCCGGGATCTCTGGGGGTAGCTCATTCCAAAGAGTCGGAGCAGCCACAGAGAAGGCTCTCCTCCGGGGGCCCGCCAGCCGACACTGTCTGGCTGACGGCACCTAAAGGAGGCCCAATCTGTGGGATAAACTAGGGAAAATGCACAGATAAATGCATAATTGAGTGAAAAGAAAGACAAAACTCTGTACATTTGAAACACAAGTTTGGAAGCACTCATGGAAATGACTAAAAGGAATTTATGGGTAGGAACTGAGGCTAAAGGTAATGGAAAAAAACTATCCCATCCCTGTCAGCCGGTCCATACTTTAAGTTCTATAATGGAAACATTTCTCTGAGTCCTTTTTTTCCTTTTGGGGAAAATACTTCTCTGATCAAACATTGCCAGCTATGGAATATTCTCCTCCTAACACCGAACATTTTGGGTATATGTTTTATCTAATACTGCTTTTTTTTTCCCTGCAGTGTTGCATTATTGTTATGCTTTTATGTTTTTATGTTTACATTCAGAGTGCTGCATCTTCATAACCATCAGGTGCCGTCTTGCTAACATGACTTTCAATTGAGATAAACTCAGTCACATTTCATGTAAGTGAAAACAAGCTGCTCACTAGGAATAGGTGAATACAGAATCAAAGAACTGGGTTGTTACCTCCTGGTCTGCAGAAACATATAATTTGGCATCAGGAAAAGTGTGTGTGTGTGTGTGTGTGTGTGTGTGTGTGTGTGTGTGTGT